TGAAAGGAACGGGGCTGACAGGCTCTGCCCCCACCTCGCACGTGGAGTTGCATCAGAAGCAGCCGAGACTCTTCCTTCTTGTCTTGGTTTAAAAAAAGAAAAAATGGGGGACAGCCTTCGGGACATCCGTTAAAAATTAAAATTGGAACGATACAGAGAATGAAGATTAGCATGGCCCCTGAGCAAGGATGACACGCATAAATCGAGAAATGGTGCAAAAAAAAAAAAAAAAAAAAACTTACTGTACCTAATTGTAAACAGATCACGAGTTCAAGTCCATTAGGAGTGAGTCAGGTGAATAGGGCAGACCATGGTTGTGTTTTTGTTTGTTTTGTTTCGTTTTTTTGCCTTTCAGCTGTTTTGTCCAAGTTCATGTATCTGCCTGCCACACATAGTTTGTGTGTGGCCACCGTCTTCGCACGAATAGAATGCCCAGTAATTAGTAATTATCGCTATATATGAGTCTACATGCGGCTATAACGGCTGCGCATTGCATTCCGGCGAAGACGGTAGTTGCTAAGGGGAAAACAAAAAGAAAAATGTTACAAGTTGCGACCACATACATGCCTCAAATCAAGTTTGTTTGTTTGTTTGTTTGTTTGTTTGTTTGTTTTGTTGTTGTTGTTGCCTACATGTGATCACAGTTCAATGAGTTCATTAAGAAATAAAAACAGTTGGCCTGCATCAATTCATTAAGAAGAACATAAAAAATCCCGACGGCGCTCTTACCCGCCACCAGGATAGTGGGCTTGGGAAAGGGCTTTCCCGGGAAAAAAAAAGAAAAAAAGAAAAAAAAGTTGGCCTGCATTACTGGTAGCACATGTGATGAAGTCTGGAGATACGTCTGATCTGTGACGGAGTTGATTGAGAATCGTTGGTGCACATACTTTGGAAAACAAACGGGACGTGTATGGGACATGGGACAGTTATGGGAGTTGGGACACGTGTATTCGGACATGGGACATGTGTACAGGCATCGCACAGACACGGGCTGTGCGGAAAAGGAACTCCCTGGGTGCAGGCTGCAGTCTGTAGTTGAGAGGCTTGAGGCCAAGGCCCGACCCCCGGGCGAAGAAGAAGGGGTGCAGGCCCCTTGCCCACTTCCTGTAAAAATCCCCTCAGAAAACTGAACTGCCAGTTCAGTTTTGGGCCCTGTCAAAAGAAGTTGCGGGTCGCAGAAAAGCGCCGCCCCCAACTAAATTTATAAAAGCAGGTTCGGGACAACGAAGACCAGTGAGGATAAAAATAATGTAGTCGTGGTCTTCATTGACTTTGAGAAAGCTTATGATCACGTGGACTGGCTGTTTTTAGATAGACATACGGAAAAAATGTATATACTATATAGGCCTATATAGTATATACATTTTTTCCGTACACAAGGCTATATATATAGCGCCATATACAGTATATACCATTTTTCCCGTACGCCAGGCTGTTTTCCGGCGCTGGACTGAAATCCTGCACCACATCGCTACCACGACCGTAAGTAAATGGTAGAGCCTAGTGCCAGCGTTTCTGCGCGTGCTTGAACCCACGTTCGAGGAGAGAGAGAGAGAGAGAGAGAGAGAGAGAGAGAGAGAGAGAGAGAGAGAGAGAGAGAGAGAGAGAGAAACGGGAAGGGGTTCCAATGAGCCGGGCCACCTTCTTTCTGCGCTGAATTCAGTGCAGAATTGCGGCAACGTTCATTAAGAAATTGCCCCATCTCTCTGTGGTTGGCAGATACACTCGACTGCGTTCAGGCTGTCCTTCCAGCCACGCGAGCTTGGACTACGACTTGGTACAGTTTTCTGGAACACACCTTTTGTCCAAAAGGGTCTGGTCTTTGACATGGGAACTCCTGTATTTTGCCGTTCGGGGTTGCGCATTTTCGTTACCCAATTTTTTTTTTTCTCGTAAATTCAGTTACCGGCGGCACTTTTCTGCGACCCACAGTTTTTTTGTTTATTGACCCAAAATGATCCAGCACTCTTTCTGCAGTTATCTCAATATTAAAATATTCACTAAATTTTGCTGGGTGAAATCTGCCAAGGGATCTCGTATGACGACGACGACCAGGCCGAAGCCAGAAATCAAAATTACACAGAGGATGCAAACAGATGACATGGCAGAGGCTAGGGGAGGAAGGGAGACTTTACTGGTGCCCCCCGGGGTTTCTCCCCCCAATACCCGACCCTGCTGCAGTTTTGGTAGGGGAGAGTAGTTTGGATATGGGACGCTGGACCTGGTTTCCAGCACAATGGCGTCACTTTCAATGATGTACTATTTCGTCAAGAAGTATTTAAGGGACGCTGGACCCGGTTTCCAGCAGGTGTTC